ATGCCGAAGGATCATCATTACTTAGCCGCTTAGTATGGTCAATTAGATTTTTAACTGTTAGAGGCATTAAATGCCACCGTAATTACATGGGTGTATTAGTGACTAATGTGGGACATTTTAGAATCTAATCCATTTACCTTTTGCCCAAGTGCCCTCCTTCTAATCTGCTTAACTCAGCACGTTTTAACCGTTTGGGTTTCCTTGTGGTGACTTTTCATATTTGTACTGAGCTTTTTAGTTGGAGGGAAATCACTTCTAAGCTTTTACCTTTGTTACGAAAGCTTTCTTCTGCTGTATTCTATTTGTGGTTTATCACTCTTGGTGCTTGACACGTCCTACTCCTCTTCTGTTCGTTTCGAAATATAAATTTCAGGTATGTTTCTGCTTACAATTCGTATCCTTCATTTTCTGTTGCATACCCGCTTTCTTTCTTGCATTTAAGCTAGGGTATGTCTGATAATCACAAGTTTGTCAATTTTATCAGAACGGCCGAACGGTCAGGCTCCAATAGTCCTCCACCAAGGTCCTTACCTAGGTCGAGGTCGTTGGGGACTGGGGAGTTGTGGCTAACTGGCAAAGGTGCTGCCCCCTGGAAGAAAGTTAATTTGAATGATTGTGGTTCTTCTTTTCGATGTTTTGAAGTTGGATCTTCATCTCGGAATCCTAATCGCGGTATAACCAGAACTTTGTCGCAATAAAGTTCATCTACTTTTCCAAAATCTTTCCCTAAAATGACGAATCCTATTTTCATATCCGGTGATTCCTCTTCAAATCTAGGTCTGGCTATAACCCTGTTAATGCTCTAGACTCTGACTTTTCTCCTTCAATTTCATCGCGCAGTACTTCGCCTTCTACCGCGCATGATCAGTCAAACCGAAAAAGTCCAAGTCCTCTACAATTAAATATTATTTACCCAGCTGGGTACCTGTATAAAAGATGAAATTTTGACAACTTTAAATCTGCATTTGCTAATTCCTCGTCTAATTTTTCTAGCTCTACTAATACATCCTCTTTTGACTCAGATCTCATCTCGCCTCAAATTAAAGCAATCATGGCCAAGCACAGTGCAGGTGATAAAAAGAAGAAGCAGAAGCTTGATCCTAAGGCCATTGGGTCGGGTAAGCGAGGTATCCGCGATGAAGAAGCTTTGGATTGGGTGTCTGAAATTGTGTTGGACACAGTCTCTATCTATGACTCTTCAGGGAATTTAGAGGAGTTGGAACCTGTAATCCATCTAACCCCGAACAAAATGCAGGACGGCAAGTGGGAATTGGCTGTAGTTCCTATGAATTAACGAGTATGCTCATCGCGCGGAGGCAGTTCCTCCAAGCATTTTCTTATGATGTATGCTTTTTTTTTCTAAACTTTGGAGTAAGACTCCATTTTTCCTCCTTTATTTGTAAGCTACTGGAACATCTCCATGTAGCCCCCTCCCAGTTAACCCCCAATGCCTGGGGTTTTATTAGAGGTACGAGATGGTTTGCAAGGCTTACGGCCTTTTTCGATCTCCCGAGTCCTTTCTTTGTTTATTCAATGTATATGGGACACATTCCAGTTGGGTATCGTTTCGGGGGAGGTCAAGACACAAATTTTTTGATTCATACCAAAGGAAAATTCACAAGTAGAGCCCTGAATATTTCAAGATTTACCCCGCGCGGGATTGTCATCCTTTGTACCTGAGAGAGGAAGATAATACCCCCAATCTTTCCTTTGTATTGGACGCGATGCCCTTCAGAGGAATTTAAATTGAACATAAGTTTTGAGGATTTAATTGACTTGGAGAAGCATACCGTGACAACTTTGTCTAAGATCGCACGGGAAGCGTCTGACACTGGTTATATGAGTACTTATACTATCTTGAATGAGTACATTGATGCTGACATTAGAGTTTTCCTGGGTAAATAGTTTATAAATTAATTGCTTCACTATGTCGTGAATTTTTATCTTTACTTATATGGATTTGTCTTCTAATGTAATATGTTTTGTGCATTCCAGATAGTGCGATGGCTACCACTTTATCTAAATTGGAGGCAATAGCGGCAATGAGAGCTGCTGAGGGTGCTACCTCCTCTGGCCCTACGATGCCATCAGCCACTGCCTTTCCTGCTGGTGCCGAATCGAGTCATGGTGCCGCGCGTTTGAAGTCACCGGGACCAACAGTGGTGACCCATGCCCCTTCTCCAAAAATAAAGAAGTGGTTCATTTGTCGCAAGGACAGAAGAGAAAGTCTGCAGAGACTGATGCAGGTTTTCTGGATTCAACTTATTTTGGGGACGGTTGGGGGGTTAGCACGGACTTGTTCGCGAAAGGCAGGGAAATTGGCCCGCTAATTGAAGACACTCCAATAGATAACTGGCTGAGAGATGTGGGGAAGCTGAGTGTTACCAACCAGCACATCATGTCTGTGGTGGGTAAGTTTCACTATATGTCATTTTTATGTATAAAATTTTTCCTTTAATTCATAACATAATATTTTCTGTGTTCCAGGGACAGTTTCGTATCTCAAGGAGCGCATTGTGGACTTGAAGGGCGAGAAGGCCATCTTGCGCGCTGAGTTTGAGGAATTTAAGAAAAAGGCCGAGGATGATCAAGCCAAGATGGAGCAAGAATTAAAGGAGTTGAAAGCAAGCTATAAAGAACTGAAGACGGAGAAGACTAATCTTTCGAAGCTCATCATAGATCTTGAGGTTGGCGTGGGTACTCTGGAGGAGGAGAAGACTCATTTGAAGAGTGAGGTACAGAAATATCAAAATTTATTTGAGAAAGAGGCCGAGGGGACCTATGTGAATATCCTTAATCAAGTGTGTCTCTTCAATCCAACTTTTAAGTTAGATAACGTCCATTATCTTTATTTCATCAAAGATGGAAAGCTGATGACTTTGAACGATAATAATGAAGAAGAGCTGGTGGATTTAGTTAGCGTGACGGACACGGAGACTCCTCCCCAGACAACTGTGCCAGCAAACCAAGATAAGGACCTTAGGGTGGCGAATGAAGATCCCCAGGACATGTCTATTCAAACAGTCTGAAATATTTTTATTACTGAAGAATTGGTCTGTAACTAGGTTGTCCCATGGTACAATTAACATAACTTTTGTATGTCTTTTCATTCCTGAACTTATCCTTTTATCTCATGAAATTTTTATCATAAGATATATTATGCCGTGATATGTCATGTCACTATTTCAGAATAAAGATAGGCCAGCACATAGGATGATTGTTAATCAATCCTTGGTTTATATCAAAGCATCTATCTTCAATTGTAAATAACTTCAATATCTGTATATGAGTATCAAATTGAAACAATGTACTTTCATTGTACCTTTTTGACATATGACGTTTTCCCATAGGCAAGAAAGGTTGCTCCATCATCAACCTTTTGAAGGTTATAACCTTTGAGGGTTGTTACCCTCTTCGTGCTTCTTCTCTTTCTTTTCTTGAAGGAAGTTTTAACCAGTTAAGGCTTTACCTTCCTTCATCTTCATGGAAGTTTTAACCAGTTAAGGCTTTACCTTCCTTAATCTTCATGGAAGTTTTAACCAGTTAGGGTTTTATCTTCCTTTTTTTTCATCGCGCTTGAAGGAAGTTTTAACCAGTTAAGGTTTTACCTTACTTTTTCTTGGAGGAAGTTTTAACTAGTTAAGGCTCTACCTTCCTTAATCTTCATAGAAGTTTTAACCAGTTAAGGTTTTACCTTCCTTAATATTCATGGAAGTTTTAACCAGTTAAGATTTTACCTTTCTTTTTCTTCATCGCACTTGAAGGAAGTTTTAACCAGTTAAGGCTTTACCTTCTTTTTTCTTGGAGGAAGTGTTGCGTAAAATCGACAAGTGCACCGATCGTACCAAGTAATAAAAAGTGAGTAGAGTATCGTCCCACGAGGATTGAGGCACCAAATTTAATTTAACTTTTCCTTTCTTATTGGATTAACAAAAAGAGGTTTGTGAAGTAATTGTGTTGTGACAATTGTGAACTATTCAACATTTCGTGAACAATTCAAAGAGAAGATTGAAAACTTAAAGTAAAAGGATGAGAGTTGAGAAAAGATTGTAAAGAAAACTATTGCAGTAAAGGACTCCAACACCTTTCCGATCCCCACCTTGTAATATTGATTAATATTTATATTTAATTACCCAATTGATCAAACAATTCACCATCTATAATTAATGAGTTAAGCCCTAACCCCTTAGTGATCTTAACCTTATTAATCCTATTAGAATCCTAATCCCTTAGAAATTCCCTTTCAAGTTAATCTTTTAGCCCAGTGAATTTTCCACGTTTGTAGTTCATATAGCCTATCCCTAGTGCATACATGAACAGTTATCTTACCCTTTGTTAGGAATTAGAATCCCAATATTCCTATTGTAAACCCTAACCCTCGCAATCCTAATAGAGTCGTGAATTCTAAAATAATTATGGGATGAAGAACAGAGTAAAATAAATTCAATTGAAATAATTAACTATAAACTTAACCAAAATACAAGGGGTTCACATCAAGGGTTGTGACCGTTACCACAATAATAAAAACTACCCAGACATATTCATGTCTGACATTAACAAATATTCAAAAGAATTCATAAAACTAAAAATAACCGGAAAGAAGAAGAAGAATTCATTAACAAATAACTCGCTCTGATTCCAGTTGCTCGCAATTTCTCTCCTGCTAAAAGTGTCTTCTTTTTGGTTTCTGACTTCTTTTTATAAGCAGTAATCCAATCAGGTCAGAATCATATCGAAGATTTAATTTTTCTTTCCGTTTTTATCCAAATTTGAAATCAGGTTTCGAATCACGACGTCCCGCGCGATCAGCGCGGGCGATAAGTGGGGAGGTATTCTTGGCGCGAACCGCGTGGACACCACGCTTTTAGCGTCAAATGGCAGTGGCTTCTTCACTTGGTGGCGCGACTTGGCATGAAGTTGGCGCTAATGGCGTGAAGTTGAAGACAATTTTCCTTCAGGTATTAGAATCCACGCTATTGGCGTGGAGAAATAATAGGTTTTCACGCTAATAGCGTGAAATTCACACTATTAGCGTGAGAATGCCATGGATGAATCATATTAGCATAGTCTTCGTGCTTTTCTCCTGTAAAAACATTAAAACCAAAGTGAAAGTGTGCCTGAAGATAGATTATCAATAATTCACTAAAATCATGCCTTTTATCACTGAATTACTATCAAATCTTTATTCTTTTTACTCTGAATTATCTATATACCAAAGGCACATCAGGAAGTTTTAACCAGCTAAGGCTTTACCGTCCTTTTTCTTCATCGCGCTTGAAGGAAGTTTTAACCAGTTAAGGCTTTACCTTTCTTTTTCTTCATGGAAGTTTTAACCAGTTAAGGTTTTACCTTCCATTTTCTTGGAGGAAGTTTTAACCAGTTAAGGCTTTACCTTCCTTTTTCTTCATCGCACTTGAAGGAAATTTTAACCAGTTAAGTTTTTACCTTCTTTTTTCTTGGAGGAATTTTTAACCAGTTAAGGCTTTACCTTCCTTAATCTTCGTTGAAGTTTTAACCAGTTAAGGTTTTACCTTCCTTTTTCTTCATCACGCTTAAAGGAAGTTTTAACCTTTACACGTTATTTGTTATGCGCGATGAATGGTATGATCATATATAAACCTGCAAGCTTTATGTGCATAGAATGATGAACAAAAATACATATATTGAATTGAAGAAATGACTTAACTATAAAATATTTTGAGTTTATCTGTGTTCCTTGTACGTGGAATTGTGAGTTCAGATAACGTCTCAATATCGTATATGCCCTTCTTGGTCTTACCTTGGACGCGATATGGCCCTTCCCAATTCGTGGCCAATTTACCTTGGCGTCCATTTTTATTGCCAATATCTGCTCTGCGCAAGACTAATTCTCCGACATTGAAACTTCGTTTAATGACCTTCGAATTATAGCACGTTGTTATTCTCTGTTTCAACACGGCTTCTTTGATATGAGCAATCTCGCGCATTTCATTGATTGTATCTAAGTTATGTAATAATGCTTGAGAATTGCTCTCCTCTGTTGCATACATCTTTCTCCAAGATGGCTCTCCAATTTCAACTGGAATCATTGCTTCACTCCCACAAACTATGCAAAATGGTGTTTCACCAGTGGTTGAGTGTGGAGTAGTTCTGTAACCCCAAAATACATAATCCAAATGCTCCTGCCATTATCCTTTTCCTGCTTCCAATCTTCTTTCCAACCCTCGTTTTAAAACTATATTCGCGGCTTCAGCTAAGCCATTGGTTTGTGGATGTTCAACGGATGTATACCTGTGTTTGATGTGTAGATCTTGAAGCACTTGATTGAACATTTTATCCAAAAACTGTGTTCCATTGTCATTAATAATGGAATGAAGGACACCAAATCTGCATATGATCTTGCGATAAAAGAATCGGCGGATGTTGCTAGTTGATATTATGGCTAAAGCTTCAGCCTCAATCCATTTGGTGAAGTAGTCAATCGTGACTATTAACCATTTTACTCCCCCTACCGCAATTGAAAATGGTCCGAATAAATCCATACCCCATTGGTAAAACGACTATGGGGATATGAGTGAAGATAATTCCACAGGAGGAGCATCGTGTAAGTTCGCATGCTCTTGGCATTTGACACAATGTCGCACGTGCTTTTTAGAGTCTTCTTCCATATTGGGCCAAAAATACCCTGCGCAAAGTAACTTTCTGGATACCACCAATTCCTTCGTGAACCTCAGTGATGACATATTGGGCTTGTTGTGGGTCTAAACATTTCAAAATTGAGGAAGAAAATCCTTTTTTATACAACTGGTTATTGATGATGGTATAAAATGAAGCCTTGCACGCTAACTTCCTTGTTGAACGCGGTTCTGAGGGCGCTATTCCTTTAGTCAAATAGTTCCAAAATGGAGTCAACCAAGTTTCTCTATCATTTGGTTGTATCTCGTCATCATCTATCATGTGTTCTGCATCGTGAGAGGGACGAGCTTTGCGCTTGGCGACAGCCATCACAATGCTTGGGTTGGGAACACTTTGTTGAATGACAGGTCTATTATTCCTAGGGCCTTTAGTACTAGCGAGCTTAGATAAGATATCTGCCTTGGCGTTCTTCTCTCTTGGGATGTGCTTAATTTTAAAACTCTCAAAATCACCTAACAACAAACGTACCTTATCCAAATACTTTGCCATTAGAGCCTCATTTGCTTGGTAGTTTCCTTGTACTTGTGCAACCACCAATTGTGAATCATTTTTCAAGATTATTCTTGTTGCTCCCAAGTCCTTTTCCATTGCTAGTCTAGCCAGAACTGCCTTATATTCGTCTTGATTATTCGAGGCTTTGAATCCAAAATGGATAGCATGTTCTACTATGACGCCTTGAGGACTTTTAATGATAATTCCTGCCCCACTTCCTTTGAGATTGGAAGATCCATCAACGAAGATTGTCCAATCATCTTCTGGCTGAATTTGTTGGGAGTGCGTCATTTCTACAAGAAAATCAGCTAATACCTAGGCCTTAATGACTTGGCGTGGTTCATAAACGATGTCGTATTCTAATAATTCTATTGACCAGGTAATCATTCGTCCCGCGAGATCAGGTTGACGCAAGATTAGTTTTTACTTTGATGGTGTGCCTTTGAAAGTAATGTCGCAACCGTTATAACAAGTGCAAAGGCCACCTTTTCAATCTGTTGATAACGCATCTCAGGACTTTGGAGGGCTTTGCTGAAAAAATAAATTGGTTGTTGACCCCTGGCATCTTTGCATAATAGCACCGCGCTAATCGCCTCGCCACTTACCGAAAAGTATAAGACCAAGGTTTCGTCAGGTTGTGGTCTTACCAAGACTGAGGGATTAGCCAAATGCTCTTTAATAGCCATAAATCCTGCTTCACATTCTGGAGTCCAACTGAAATCTGTTTGTTTGCGCAACAGTTTGAATATGGGTAATGACTTTTGTGCTGATGCGGACAGGAATCGAGTTAAAGCTGTTATCCTTCCAGTGAACTGTTGTAATTCTTTAATATTTCGAGGGCTAGCCATGTCGAGGACTACTTTGCATTTTTCAGGGTTTGCCTCTATGCCTCAATGTGATAACATGAATCCCAAGAATTTTCTAGGGGGAACTCCAAATGCGCATTTGGCTGGATTAAATCGTAATTTATGTTTACGCAACTGTTGAAACACCTGCTCTAAGTCCTGAGGGTGTTGTGGAGTCGTCATGGTTTTGACAATCATGTCATCTGTATTTACTTCCAGCATTTGGCCAATCTGCTGCCTAAAGACCTTGTTCATCACCCATTGGTATGTCGCGCCAGCGTTTTTAAGACCGAATTGCTTTAGGATCAAGAGTAAGGTGATGGCCTATTAAGGCAGGATCTACTCCTTAAATATCAGCTGTTGTCCAAGCAAAAAGGTCTTTATTTTTTAAAAATACCGCCACCAATTGCTTTTTCTCACTTTCTGGTAGGTTACGTCCAAATTTGGTAACGTTTTCAGGTAACGGACCAAGTTGGAGTTCTTCTAACTCACCATCAGGCTGGGGTCACGCATTGCGCAAATCTTCGTGCATGTCTAAGTCAGTCATATTGATTGATGCCTTGCCTTTCTCAACGTGATGAGTTGCTGACTTTACTCGTAAGCTGGTGTTTTTCAAATCAAAAGCGACAAAGGTGGGATGTCTCAAGATGTCGTTATATGCAGATGCATATTTGATAACATAAAAGCGTACTTTAACAGTACGAGCTAGAGGCATAACCCCAAAGGTTACCCACATTTCGATGGTACCTTTGGGTTGTACAGATTCACTGGAAAATCGATCAAATTTGTACAGCCTGGAATTAAATGTTCTTCTAGGATATTCATCGCGCGGAACGCATCCCAGAAGATTATCAGCAGAACTGTCGTTATCAATCATAATTCGTTTTACCTGGAGATTGGCCTTGCAAGCGGAAATCATCAGCGAGTCATCATGGTCTGAGATGATGTCGCCATAATCATCATCGTCAAAGCTGATTGATTGACGATAAACGCGGGATGTAGATGGTTGTGCATGATCGCGAACTGTCATGACTGATTTTAAATGTCTCTTACATTGTGAGCTAGTAGCCCCTCCTCTGGCTATTCTGCCAGCGATGGTGGCTAAAACTCCGGCAGCATTATTGGGCAATTGGTGTTGTTGTGCTGCCTGCTGTCTATCCCGCATTGGGATTCCTTAACATTTATCAGTGGGGTCATCGTGCGTGTTCCTATTATTGTTAGTTCTGGCAGGGTTATAGTCCTTCCTGGGATATGCCCTTTATCAGTCAGGATTCTGATCGTGATCCGGACTTCTATCGCGCCTTCTTTGTGCCTTAAACTCTCTGCGGGTAGAAATAAATTCTTGGAGTTTGCCTGCTCTGATAAGTATTTCGATGGTGTTTTTCAAATCAAAACACTCGTCAGTGGTATGACCGGTATCATTATGAAACTTGCAGAATTTGATTTCGTCACATTGTCCTCCTTTTTTCAATGGGGGGCTTAGCAACGCGAACATAACCGGTTTGGAAGACTTCCTTTAGGATTCGTCTGCGGGATGTGTTCAAAGGAGTATAATTATCAAACTTTTTCCACTTTTTTTTCTCGCGGAATTGTCTTTGAAAATTCTTTTAGACATCTTTTTCAAAATTGTCTGATTCTGTTTTGATGCTAGAAGTATCCCGCGATCGTTTATAATCTTCCAGATTAATGAATTTTCAAATCGCGCTTAGTTCCGTTATGGTTCATGGGCGTTGTTTGGCCAACGACATAGAGAATGGCCTTTCAAGCAATCCCTATATGATGAGATGTAGGGAAACTTGTGGATCTAGATCTCTTACTAAGAGCACTTCCTCAAAAAACCAATTGAGGTAATCGCGCAGAGTTTCGTGTGGTCCATGTCGTACTGTTTTTAAGGTGTGTGTGGATTTAAACTGCGCCTTGCTCGTTGCGAACCGTATAAGAAATTGGTTGGTTAGATCCTCCCAACTTTGAATTTATTTAGTTGTTAAAGCGGAGTACCATCTAAGCACTACTTCATTCAAGGTTGTTGGGAATAGCCTGCAAGCTATTGGATCAGCAACATCTTGTGCCATCATATTTGTCTGGAATTGTTCCAGATGTTCTTGAGGGTCTCCCTTTCCATTACACTTCTCGGCTGTAATTTTTATGTCCCTGGGGATGGGGACGCTTGTAACAGTCAGTTGTACACCAGTATTGTTAACATTGATTATGATATTAAGCGCAGTTACAATCATAGCAATTCATTTATAAAAATGCGAGTAAACTTTTTTCTTTTTATTACGCGAGCATTTAAAATAATAATAAAGCGTAAGAAATAAAAGTTGTGACTGTAACTGAAAACTAATTGCAAAATAATAATATAAAATGCCTAGATATCATATAATACTTCTCTCAAGACACAAAGGGGTTCCCTTAAATCCACTTAGCCTAAATTTCACTTTTATGGTTTTTACCTATTCGAACATGGTTCGGTATTTTGGATATTGCGAAAAATTTGAATGTCGTGCGCCTCTCATCTTTTAGTATGTTAATCTACACTTAATTATCTTTCTAATGAGCTATCACATGCTCTAAAAAGTTCTCATTTGCTCCGGATATCTCTGTTTGAAGTTGGACAAACAAATCTGCCAGCCAACCTCAAACTGGGCTCCAAGAAGCCCTCACTCTTTGAATGATTCCGGATAAACCACTATACCAATAGCTCTCAAATTTTTATACAAAAAACTAGACAGTGACAGCCCCCAAGTGCAGGGGATTTTGGGCAGTCTGTGTTCCACGACTTCTACAGGGCATCATGCTACTCCTATGGTTCTCAAATTTTGACACAAGGTAGTTGACATCTCAAGATTTACAATGGTGTATGGAACGTCCCTATTGGACTTTTGTGGAGAGAGATATGCTCTCCCAAAGTTCACTCCAAATCTGCCCATTTATAGAAATTTTGCCAGAGTCTCATTTGTTTTTCCAATATATCCCAATTTTGAAAGTGTGTTGTCTATCCTCAATTTGTACCTATAAACATGGGTGGCACTCAAGGACCAACAATGTCTTGGTGCTCTTACAACCCTTCACAATTTATATCAAAAGCTTACTTACAACTCATTGATTACATTATCAAATCTTAAACAATTTCAATCACATTAATTCCATTGCATGCATTCTTTTGGCATAAAACATAAATCATATCCTAGAATAGGCCTATTGCCTTTTCATCATATACATGCTTCAATATTAAACAAAGTCTCAATATTACAACTTCTCCAATTAAACATAATACGATTTACAACTTTAATTACAATATAATAATTCCTTAAATGAACATGATAAATCATAACTAAACTTAGCCAAAAAGTGACATGAACAAAGATGACAATATGAATATTCCTAGCTCAATGCAGTGTTCATGTCCTAAGTCTAGCCTAGGTCAAATGGCCACAAAATGCAAAATGGGCACTAGACAATCATGCTCATCCCACGAGCCTCTTGCCCGCCGCTCCCGTACAACTGCC